AGGTGGGGAATGGATTAATGTAAGCGACAGGCTGAGAATCCAGTGGTCTTGGCCAAGGGTCGGTGCCAATGGAGAGACGTTACCTACTTACCTTCATGGTCTAAGGGGCTAGCTCCAAAATTCAAATGTCAAAACAACAAGTAATCTACATCGTCCCAAAGTCCTATCTGGATATTCCGCGTTTATATATAGCATCAAAATGGCATCCCTTTTCCTTTGTAGTTTGGTGATACTGGTTTGCAAGTATTAGCAGAACATCTACCAATGTTGGAATCACTCAATCTCTGTGAAACACCCGTCACTGACGCAGGACTGGCGTCCTTGGTCATTCTTACCAGTTTGAAAAATCTGAACTTAAATAGCACCAAATTATCACCTGTCATGTACGAGAAATTAAAGGTACGTCATTCCTTCGATCGGTCGGATGGTCTCAGTGGTCATTCAACCAGCCTCAAAACTAACTTTATTTATAATAGATAGCTCTGTCAGTTCTAAACTGTTCTCCTAAGAGATCCAGCAAGGGCCACCCTTTAATGCTTCAGTGTTACCACAGGAGCAAGCCTAAACGTCGCTAAAGCTCCGGTCAAACGGATGAGAGTTGCAACTCTCATTGACTCTTGTGCAATCTCGCCAACTTTGAACCATTCTCTGAACGAGTTTTTTTCTAGGCGTGGTAATATCCAGTCAACTCACAATGCAACTCTTGTTCTCGTTTGACCGGGGCACAAGAGCTGAGAAAACTAGCTCAACTCTCATCAACATCAGGGTTTTTTTCAGGATTTTCTCTTGAGTCCGTTTTTGCGGAGAAGATTGAGTTTAGCTGAACAGCTGGGATGGCTGCCCCCCCCCCCCCCCTACCGTGGGGCTGACACTTGTACTCAATAAATGTAGTTGAGACGGAATGTGTTAAAGCAGGGGCACTAAGGGACACTATAAACTGGTTAAAGATGGCGAATGCATAGTTTTTCTTGTGTTGTGAGATGAATTCCAGCCAATTGTTGGGTTTCCAACGGAAAACTAATTTCCACACGTCACGAATTTAACTCAAACAACTTCATTTTTACTGCACTGAAACTTTGGTGAGAAGATTTAGTTTCAAACGCAATTCAAGATTCAGTTTTTGGGGCCGTTTAACTGCCCTAAAAAATCCCTGGAAAAAAACCCTGAACATTCATCCTAGACTTGCTCCATGTCAACCTCTCAAAGGGTTTTTTATTTGGCAGTTTTAAGGGGTGTGCGAGAATGCGAGCGGATTTGTCCTTTAGAGACAGACTTAGAGCAAGTTTACTTTCATCTTCGTTTATAACCAAGGCTTAACTATATTTATGTTGCATATTGTATAGCTCTATCCGTTCTTAACTTTTCTTCCTAGATCGAGTTTACCACTATATATAAGTTTTCATTATTTGTTTTCAGAGTAAACTGCCTGTGTTGGAAGAACTTGATGTAAGGTACACTGATGTGTAGAGTGTAGAATTTTCCAGGAGATAAGTGCGCCCGCACGCATTCTGGCTGTTTCCACAGTAAGATCATGCCACTTCCGGTTTATTCTCAATGGCTAGAAAATTTGGCGAGAATTTGGAGGGGAGGAAATTGTAGTAATTTAGAAATGAGAAAAATTTGTGTAAATATGAAAAACCTTTGAGGTGTCAATTTTGCATAGTTTGTGATAATTTAAGCGAATAGTAAGACTAATTAGTAAAACTAATAGTAAGACTAATTGGTGCTAATTAAGGCTAATGAATTTAATTCTCATCCGTGTAGGTTATACATAATAAGTTAATATAGTGTATAGATTATGAGAACATAGTGGAATGTTAGGATGTATTTATAGTTTGGAATTTAGTAGTACAGCACTGCCCGCAGGCTGACTGTTTAAAATAGTAGCGAACATAATGATAAAAGCTATACTATATAAATGTGGCAAACAGGCAAATATCATCCGTCAGTTCGTCTTGACGAAGTTTGTCTTGATGGACGATCCATCTTTATGTATAAATTACGGCATGATTTGTTCCTATGGCTATTCCCACTGTAGTTCGTCTTGTGTCTTCTACAGCAGAAGTTTAAATTTGACTTTCACTACTGCTATCATTAAGGAACCATTAACCAATCACGTGCGTTTGATATATCCGTTTAACCAATCAGATGGGTGCGTGGTGATGGTGGAAGTCAAATCTGAACCTCTCTGTAGACTGATGATACGCCAGTTGACCTTTAAAGCTCTTCTATAAATCATACCAGTCGTAAAAATCAGTAGTTTCTTTATATGTAAACAATCTGAATACATAGTTGAACACTAGGGTATAGAATTAAAATTATTAGAGTACAGGGCCGCCTATAGAGGGGGGCATTCTGCCCCGGGTGGCCAGATCAAAATGGCCCCCAAAGCGACGAAATCCCTTAAAATTTCTTGATACAAGATTAGTTAACTGAGAATATAAATTCTACTTGCCGGATAATATGCAACATATCCTCGTTTTATACAATTATGACGTCATGGGTCCCCTTGGTAATTTTTATGACGTCAACCCCTCTCTTGGCGGCCCAGTTAAATGATAAATTGTTAGGGTGGGGCATAAACACATTTTATTATGCCAAAAAAACTGTTGCTGTTTGGAATGGTGAAGATGAGCACGGGGTAAAAATATTACATGATTTTGTAATTTAGTGTAATTATACAAGGAGAAAGTTGTAGCTGAACTGGTTGATAATGTAATATATTATGATTGATTGCGAAGTGAATTTTTGGATAGTTTGTGAAGCTGTTTGTAATATGCATAGTTATGTCCAAAGAATAGTGTGTGGTCATCACACTTATATCGTTCGTGCAAAATACACGCTTAAAGGAATATGGCAATAAAATTAGCTTTGTCTTATTTGAAAGAACTTCTAAAGTTATATATGAAGACCTTTTACAACTTTTTCGTACCTCACTTGGTTTTTATTTTAACCAAATATAATTGACCTAATTAACTGAGTTTTTGATGACGTCACAAGCAGGGTAAACTTGTTAAAACTTCTTCATGTGGGACTAAATTTCTTCGAAAAGTTTCTTAAAGTATTGTGGGTTAATTGATAATTCTTTTTGATAATGACATGTGGTTTGCAAGATAAAAATTTCGTTTTTTACCCTTCTTGTGACGTATCCATATCGAATGCATATCCAAGATGGCGGAATGCACGCTGCTTATTTAAATGGAAACCAAGCAAGATACGGAATAATTGTAAAGGAAGTTTATATATCTTGTATGTCATTTTAAATGTTCTTTAAAATAACACAAACTTAATTTATAATGCCATATTCCTTTAAATACAAATGTAAAAAATATTTCTTCGAGGTGGACCATTTATAGAAAAGGGGAGTTTCAACTTGCACCAACTTTTTTCGCCCGTCTGCTTAAAGATATTTTTCTTTGCTTTCTCTTTGCTCGTTTTTTTCCTTTTGTTTTCCTTTGCGCTAAATTTTTTGTCCCCCTGCCCCCACCGCTTTTGTAATGGTCCCGCCCCGTAGTTAAAAATGATCAGTGGTTTGCTATATAGCAATTGTACAGTTTGACTCGTAAACTAATTATGTACAGTACTGTGGAAATGAAAATACAATTCATGTGTAGCTGTCAATTTTGGAGGAGATTTTTGACCTGGAGGAAGGAATTCTCGCATGAAACCAATCATTTAAAAGAGCGCATTTGAAAATTCCAATCAACTCCAGTAAACAGGGCGAGGTAGTTAACCATAGTAGCCAAGAAAATAGAACTGTTATCAGTTGCACAAGTCATTGCCACTGGACAATAGTTGTATAGACTTGTTTAGTCATGCGATTGGACAATCTACATAGCATGGGCACTTTTTAAAAACACATTTTCAAATGTTAAACTGCCTCGTCCCCAGGCGCAATACACATTCGACGCGAGTCACTATATAAAATGTGTACATGAAGTAGTGCGTCATAGGCGCGCAAAGGGGGATGGAATATGTCGTTCTGGTTACTACTTCATGTAAACCTTTTTATATAGCGGTCTCGTATGTGAAATCTAATCCTTTTAATTTAAACTCTTCACAAGAAAGTCAAGAACCGTAATTGTTCTTTTCAAGTTAAAATATTTAGACTAATCTAAACCTAAACGGGTTTTCTACAACCGGCCACTGACAATTAGAGCATACTGATATAGCAGCTCTATAATTGTGCTAAACAACAAAACTGAAAATGTTCGGAATTATTAGTTAGAAGAAAATATACTGTTCCACCTTTGGACGCGTTCTACAGTGGTTCTACCTTGAAAACCACGATGCCTCTCCCAATGAAACTCGCCCGACTGATATTTCGCCTGGACGTATCACGCTTTCAAATGAATTTCAATCATATTATGTAAAAAATACACATACAGCTATGATTGAAGGATTGGACAACAGAACTAGAATCCCATACTAAGTCCATCCATCTAACACTAAAACACGACATGTTACGGACGACAAACTGGACAACGTATTGATTTTACAGGCCTTTACACTATATAAAACATGCAAGAATAAATACATAACTACACTACTGTGAGATTATTTGTGAGGTCCAGATTTGACCCCCACCATAGTTGAACTTTTAGCGGATTCAAATTTAGACAAGACCATTGTCGGGAATCGAGATCGCGGATTTTGCTTCAAATTTGGGCGAAACATATATTTTAAGATAACTTCTTTTCAACATTTTTTATCAGTATATGCTTTGGCGGTTGAGAAAATCACTAAACCACGAGTACGAGTTAAATATATACTCTGAAACAACAAAAGATGTTCATGGCATACGTTTCAAGGCTTTCAATGCGTGTCAAGTAACATTCGCGCATTCCCCCATTTCCGTATTCCGCTCTGCGCATTCCCCGTTCCTTATTTTTAACTCGGAATTTGTCGACTTACGTTCGTACCGTGCCGAGGTCCCGTGAGATGCCTGCGGAGGAGGCTATCTATGGCTAGGTCCCGACGAAGTTCCGGGTATTTCCGAATTTTAAATTTTTTTACCGCGTGGTGAAGAAGCAAGGAAGAAAAATGGAGGACATTTTTTTATCAAACTTAATACCTTTATTGGAAGCTCTGTTGGAAGGTAATATGCTTTATTTAATATCAATCCTTGTCGTAGAGTACTTAGATTGCCAATATAGATGGAAATTTAGGACATCGAGCCCGAATTTAATGCGATATTTCGGCATAAAGTTTGTGCTTTTTCTTTGCTGCCTTTGCACGTGGTGCGTTTGTCGAACTTTAAACCGTGTTTTAATTCATAATTATTGTCGACCAATTGAGTAAAAAGACTAAATAACATCTAGAATTGTTTAAGTTGTCGAAAAAAGTTGTTATTTCTGAGTTATTGCCAAAAATTTTTATATTTATAATGCCATATATTAAAAAGAGAGGAGGCGCTTCAATGGTGAGACGAATATTTCAATTCATCAGCTTGTACATGCATTTCAATCTTACGACAAAATATTTCAACGTTATATAATTATGTTGTGTTTGTTCAACATTACAACGTATTTGATTCTTGCTTGCAAAGCAAAGATAATTAAAAATATTTGTGTTTCTTTACCTCACTGTCACAGCTGGTTTGAATTTTGATAGGTGGGGCTTTTCGGTAAGCGGGCTAGTAAGATTAAGGCCCCGTTGAGACCGGGACGAAGTCAAACTGGAATGAAAATTGAAATTGTCAACATGTTTACATGAGACTGGAACGAAAATTGCAAAATTTTCAATTTATTCCCCTTGCCAGGCAATTTTCTTTTTTAGATGGTTTTTGTTAGCATGTGTTGTTCCAATGTCAAGGTTACAGCCGAGACCCGTCTGAAATGTATTTGTGTTTACATTCATCCCGGTCTGAAGTCAGTCGGCTCGATCCAGCAGGTGGAATGACTTGAGACCTGTCTGAGTTATTTTTGTCCAGGTGTCATGTAAACATCTATTATAAATAATACTATAACCGAAACGAAATAGTCCCGGTTTGACTTTGTTCCGGTCTCATGTAAATGGGGTCTTTAGAATTTAAAGTTCGTAGGCTGAGCATGGTTTGAAAAGTAGCAGTGTAAAGCCTTTTTTCAACATGGGCTGGGCTGGCTGGCAAGGATTCAGAGAGTGCTAAACAAATAGAAAGGACAGTATTTGTTAAATTTAAAAGCATATTAACTTGATTTACTGGTACAGCAGATGCCTGGAGTCAAAATGAAGTTGAAAAAAAACTTCCAATCAAATTCTATCAGTTGGCATTGTCACAACATAATATAAACATTTCAAGAAGCAATAACTGTGGTAAACAACCCAACATCTAGAAAAAAAACATTAGAGCAAAGAAAATATGATTTTTTCATCCCGCTAGCCAAGCTATTCACACCCTCAGTAAAATTCTCATAAATTTTTGTAGATGTACAATGCAAGTTCCAAGAATGTCACAAGATCTCATGATTATCAAAATTTATTGTACACATTCCAAGATCCTGAATAAGAGGTAAACTAGGTTACCCACAGGGCAGTAATGCTTCCTTTGACAGCAAAAGACAAACTACAGGGTGTTGAACGAGTCCTTCAGAAACATCCTATTATTGTTTAGCCTGCATGGCAGGCGGTTCCTAAAATTGGGCAAGCCTGGGAAATACCGCCTGCCATACGGGCTAATTATTGTTATCCTTGTAACCCATTTATTGACAGTACCCTACCACTGACTGAGTATTAAAAATCGTGTGGCGTTGGACAGGGTAAATACTAAAGTAGGGGTCATTACTGTGCTGATGAATTAACAAGAGCCATTGGCAGATAGGTTTGTTAATCCATTTACTGGCAGTACCCTATACCACTGACGAGTAAAATCTTCTGGCGCTCAACAAGGGAAGGGTGCATTGCCAGCTAATGGGTTAAACCACCGTGGTTAAACATAAAATTTCATGATGCTCCAGGAAATGTAAACAAGCTATCAGTGTGACATCCCAGTTTATATATTTATATACTCGGAATATTGATTTCTCGGTATATACAAAATTATTTTAAAGTATAACAACCAGCGAAGACGTAAGGCACTAACTACCCTGCGCGGCTGCGCGCAGACTATATAACGACATATATATGTCATCCGTCCGGTCCGTCCGTCATTCATCTGTCCGTCCATATCCGCGTTTTATCCTAACCCGTTTTTAAAACACAAAGTTTGCATTTAATTAAGGCAGTGCGGTTCGTCATGATCAATATTTTCAAAAGTGGCCAATTAGACGAGGGGTTAAAGGGCAAAGACAATGACATGCAGGTGACATTTAACATTGCGTCTCACTAATTAAAATTTGCGTGTTTAATAGTGTTTATCAAAGCACAGTTAATTCCTATTTCTATTAACTGTGATCAAAGAAAGCAAAAATATATACAAGACAATCTCACATGTGGAGTTTTTTCACTTACAGTACGTACTGCCTTGTGATGCAGTACAAGTATAAATACAAATGACAAAGCATTTGTAAATCCTAAAACATAATTAAATCATACGGCACATTTAAGATTTTAATATCGTATTTCAGCCGCGTTTATACTGTTTGGTGCATTCGCTGCGTTATATTAATTTACATGTAGGCTATATACACAGAAAAGCATGTCATTGTCCTTGCAGACCATAGGCAAAAAGCATTTGTCAACCATGCACATACCAAATTTAAGCAATCGTTAAATCATATACATGTCATGGAAAGAATATGGAAATAATGTTGAATGAAAGCTAGTATCGCGTATTAATATTAAAAGCACCGCATATAGTGCTCGAACCACTGCGTATAATTGCAAAAGCATCGTGTATATAAATGGTGAAAGCACCGCGTATAATACTGGAACCACCGCGTATAATGGCGAAAGCACCGTGTATAATGCCAAAAGCACCGGCGTATAATGCTAAAAGCACCCAACACAATGCCGTTTGATCACTTTAAGCCAGCTATGGCTTTCCATAAAAGAAGACCAAAGATGAAACATGATCACATTGCCTGTTTGCCATATTGCCTGACCGCGCTGCACCACGGTTAAAATTCACTGGTACCGTCATGCAATGCACCAAATAGAAAATTTTGATTTCGACCCACAAAACAAAATTAGGATCTGCTGCCTTGCTCGCTCGCTTCAGGCTCGCTCGCTGCGGCAGCAATTATTTTTCTTCTAATTGTTTCTAACCTTCTCCTTGTATTTTTTTGACAATTTTCTTTGTAATATATTAATTTGTTTCATGTTCTTAATGGTGAGTTTTTTTAATTTTCTAGATGTGTGTTGCAATTTCAAAGAATGTCTCAAGTTGTTGGCCGAAGTGATTTTGATCTCAAAAGTGAATGCTGTCATTGGAAAGTATATATAAAAGGTCTTAATATTTTCCTGTCTTATCTTGCATGAAATGTTTTGAACATTATATGATTGCTTGTGATCAATAGTTTCAAAAAATCCCAGTAGAATATTGCAAAAATAGCATGACCATGTTACTTTTATGACAAAATAACAACAAAAATAATAAACACAATCTTTACGCCTAAATATGGCGAGTGCTCAATAATTGCATTTTTTTATTCTATTAGTAATTTGGAAAATTTCTTGTGACTTGTATTAATTTGGAAAATTTCAGTTTTGTGGTCCCTCGATTACTTGATTAATTTTCGTGTCACTGATCACAAAAATTATATAATTTTCAAAGCATATAAACATATGGGCAAGCCAGAAAATGACAAACTCTCTGTGTTTTAAAAAAAATTGTTTAATTAAACAGTGATGATTTTGAGTTTATCTGTGTTCTATCTGAGAACATAGTTGTTTCTACATATTTTCGAAGTTTTTGTCAAATGTAACAAAAAATGAAAAGTTTGTCAGTATTTGGCTTTGTTACATCAGTTAAACATTGAGAAGATTGATGTGGTTTTTATTACAAACCACTTTGGTTTCTTACAAACAAATAAGACATGTGACTTAGTCATCTTTCATGTTTTGGTATTAATTTGGAATATGTTTTAAAGGATTAAAAGAACATTGATGAACATTTGTCTCATCATAATTTGTGTTTTGAACTTGTCAAAGTGCAATTGTAAAAACAGTAAGCTTGCATCCCATCTCAATCTTCTCTTGTTTAAGTGGACTTTCAGTGTTTGTTGAAAGTTTGGAAAGTTTGTCTGAAAATCACAATCTTTCATTCAATGTTGATTCTGGAGGTTTTCAAATATTGAATCTTACAAAAAGCAATTAGTGATCAATTGAAGTATACAATACTTTTAAAATTAGCACTGTTAGAACTGCCTTGTTGTTTAATAGTCCTGTCTTATTTATCCCAGCACACTCTTAATACATGAGTTTGATTATTCCTGGATGCAAATAAAATGGATTTGTTGAAGAACAAAGCAGTTTTATACACTACTGACTTATGGGAGGGTTGTGTTCTTCAGTTGTTTTTTTTTCTGATTCTAGTGCCAACCACATTGTGGTTTTAACAAAATTTGAATTTTGGAACAAACTTTGTGATTTTTAAAAAACCTTTCCCAACTTTAAAAAACAAACAGTTAAGGTCGAAATAATTAGCTAGGATATGTTGTCTTTACTTATAATTACAAAGTGGAACTTATTTGGATATGGGTGAACTGAAGCAGCAAACTATACTTAATTTTGGGGTAATGTGAGATGGAGAAAATAACATTAAAGTAATCAGCAATGGCGGAAAAACAATCAGCAATGAAAAGTATATATTACAGTAATTGTTTGGTAAAGCCATCCAATAATTGGAATATTGAGGCTGAAGATAAGATTGACAATTCTTGGTCCTACATGTATGTGTTAATCAATGCATAATTTGATAAGATTTGAATGAAAATTCAAGCATGGAACTAGCCATATTTTTAGTATTCATCAAAATTTGTGTGTGTTTCATCAAACACAAGATATGCAATAGCCAATACTGAGATGCTCTTTATGTACCAGATTTTATAATCTGAATAAAAAGTTCTAGATTTAAAAATATTATTTTTATTTTAAATAATCTGATTGACCTATGATAAATCCTAATTTATTTTAAGTGTGAAATTTTTAAGCTTGAATTTCATATTTTATTTTGATTTTTTAATCCGATTCAATTAACTAATTTCGTACTTTGCTTTGCATACTAACTGAGATGACAAGATTTTAAATTTTTATTGGCTGGTTGTGGTTAATAATTGTTTGGCAATTAAAATTAATTTGTTAGTTTTCTATATTTATATGTATTTCTTTTGCTTCAGTTCAACATTATTTTCAAATAGTTCCACTTTGTAATGGTGTGTTATAATAGTCATAATAATAATATAAGCAAACAGGTTTACATGGCACTCGAACATGGTCTTTTCAGCGAGTATGTAAAGGTAAGTTTATACTTCAAAAAGGTCTGTTTTAACCTGACAAGAATGCTGTCCAAAATTAACTAAAAATATTTTTAACTTTCAATGAAATTTCATATGTTCAATCAACAACAGCTACTACTGTATATGTCTTTTGATGTTTGTGTTTGGTTTGCTCATGTTGATACTAGAAATTGATGAAAATGCAATATGATATTTTGTTTGTTGAGAGAGATTCTAAGGATTGCATGGAAACTGTTGTTCCTTGTGAGGACTTGAGCAAAACTGTTTGTCTACTTTTGAATTAACAAAGTATACCCAAAACTTATTTCCTGTTTTTCATTATGCAAAGCCATAAGCTCTTTTCCAATTGAAAATTTCTGTTTGGTTTGACCAAAATAAATAAAAGTGTTAAAAGATATTTATGAACATTTGAAAGCTTGGTTCAACCATATTTTGTGTGTTTCTGTACGTCGCTACATGTTTTGCGTCAGAAAAATTTCCCGAAACATTTTTTGTAAATGATATAAATGTCAGATGATATAAAACAGGACAATTTTTTCCCTAAGTAAAATTTAGGAGATGTTTGTTTATAAAATAGTGGATCAGTGTGTATGATCTTGTTGTATTTATCGATAGGACGAGAAATGTACCAGTTTAAGCAAAGCAAATTGAAACTGAATTTTTGTTTGAAAAATCAATCAGAATTGGAGAAATAACATTCTTTTAAAATTTTGTTGAACTGTATTTTCATCACTTGAATTAGTATTAACATTATGTATAATCAATTCAAAGTTGTCAGGTTAAAAACGACGCTCAAAGATATATATGGCTCCGAAAGACCAGGATAATTTCAAATTCTTAAATATTTCCTGATTTGGCACTTGAAAGAAATGTTCTTATATATGTTCAATTGAGTATGGAACCGATGATCTAGTCGTAATGTTTCGATGTTTAAAAATATCATTTCTGAGTTTAATGAAGTATACTGTCAGTGCATTGACCATTGTGGAAATGTTAAGACACTTTGAGGAAATTAATTTACTAATTCAAGCAATATAATTTGTTGACAACTGATCGCGCATTACAACGAATGGACTTCTCTTAGCATCTAAACATCGCGATGATTTTCATACTCAAGTGAACATTTTGGTCACTTTACCAAAAACAGTTGGTTGTATTAAAAAAAAAGTAAAAGCATGTTTGATTGACTTTGTCTTTGAGCCATATATTTTCCTTGTAAAACAACCTGGTGTGACGCTTTGGATTTGTCCGTCAAATTCGAAAAAATTATCATTAGAGTTGTTTTACAATATTTATTTTGAAGTATAAACATTTATCTTGAAAAGACCAGGTTCTCTTGTTTCCTCAAGAATTAACTTTTTAATGTTAATTCGCGGGCAAACAAGTTTTTAATGTTGTGCTTATTCACTTGTGCTTATTCACTTGTGTTGAACACAATGTTAATTGTTCTCTTTGTGCCATGTTCTGTTTTCTTCTATTGTTATTTGAATAAGTGTGCAGTGGTTGTTCTCTCTTTATTGTTATTCAATTTGTAATTACAATTCTTTTCAATAAATTGTTCATTAATTATACAAGAGACTCCTTTTTAATTAAAAATTCAATTCCCATGGGAATTGAAAAAAAAAATAAAAAAAATTCCCCCACCCCGGCCGGCTCCCCAAGTGCCACCTCTACTTCAAGCAGAAGTACTTCTACTATATAGTAAAAGTACTTCTACTTAAAGTAGAGGTAGCACTCGGAGAGCCAGCCGGGGTAGCGAGGCGAAGAGAAGACCAACCTTGCAAATGCAAAATAATGCAAATTGCTAAGTCGATCTTTTCTTGAGAGCAGCCACGCACATACCTGGCAAATAATGTAAAACAACAAGCAATTAGTAACAAATACTCGACATGCAAATTTTGAATCCCATGGCCGAAATGACAAGTGCCCCCCACTGATTCCTACCAACTGCCTACCTGCCTCAATCCTAAGCTGTCTGCCTCAGTCCTAAGCTGTCTGCCTTGGTCCTAAGCTACCTGCATTCCATTCGTAACTTCCGCTTTCCTCACCATCACACAGACACTCGCAACTGCCCAACCTGCCACCAGCCTGAACTGCCCACCCTTAAAACTGAAGGAATTAAAATTTTGGCAAAGTATACATAATTAATTTAATTTAATCGGATATTTTAGGGCAAACGTAAACAGATAAATTAAAAGGTTGACAAATCAGACGAAAGACCGCGTATACAAACAGGTGAGTTTCTTACTTGCTTTTATATACATGAATATACGAAACCTCAAAATCCGGATTTTTCCTTTTATATGCTTTACTAGCAGGCTATAATTTTTGTTTAAATAACGAAACTCAACACATTTTGCAGATGTTAGGAAATTAGTCATTTGTCAATGTTCAGAAAAAAATATTTTCTCTTTAAATATGCTCTCAAAATTTTAATTCCTTTAGTTTAGCCTAACCCCATGCATCCTATACACACGGCGCACACTCTCGCACTCCATACATTTAGTTAATAAATTACGTTATAAACAAAAAATCAAAATAAAAAGATAAATTACGTTATCACTAGCTATCCTATAACCCACTTAGACTGCGTTTTGGATTCTGGTTCGAAACGTAAGATCTTAACTGAAAGGGCATGGGCTTGAGTTTTGTTAACTGGTCCGAAATAAATACAAACCTTAAACTTACCTAAACCAAAGGCTCGATTAAATAAGCATGAGAATTATTTTTAAAACTTTTTCATAAGAGTTTAAAATCCAAACGAAAATTACAATGTCGCTAATTTAGTGAGCATATAGTACTGTTTGTCTATATAGTTCAAACAGATCGAACGCACTTCTCATACTCATTTAACCGGAACGCCTTGATGATCATTTGCATGGCACGTCGCAGCTGCTCTCAAGTAACAAGATACTTATCATATTTAATCAAAGGGGATTCATTATAATATTCAAATTTCCACTATGAAATCAACATCAACATGAAAACAAAGCATAGTATATTCCCCTGGGAATTAAAAATACGGAAAAAAATAAAATTGCCAAATACCTTTTGCTTGCGCAAATTAAAAAAAATTAGCATAAAAAACAAAGGATAGTATATTCCCATGGGAATTAAACATACGAGAAATAATCCCAGGGCTTGAAATAACGTTCCCAAAGTTCCCGATCATGGTGATCGGCTGTCATGACTTTCCCTGCTTTTCAGGTTGGAAACCCTGCTTTTCCGCAGATCATAAGCAATTTCTTGCCGATCATTGATCGGTGGTCGGCTGTTATTTCAAGCCCTGAATCCACCAATTCTTAACTTTTTAACGCTTGAAATAGGGTTTCTTGTTTTCGTCGTATGTTGATTTTATGTGAATTATCCCATATTTAACAGAATATAAACATGGGTAGGGACCGCATCTGACAGCTATGATTTTATTAACGCGGATTAATATTTCGTTTTCAGAAAAGACTACAATCGACAATATTCCAAGCAAGATTTCGTGCTTTTTTAAGGTATTGTTGCGTCGATCTTTTTTATACAAACAGTTCTCTACTATCCGATTTTGGCAACTTTTTTGTTGTTTTCAAAAAACTTTTATGAAATGATATCTTACCATACGGACTCTAGATCATCACAAAAACACTGCGTTATCGCGTTTTTGAAAGTTTTGCCCAAACGTTTGACCTGTTTGAGGGCAATTATTTCTATACTCCAAAAATTGGTAAACATTCGCCAAACTCGTAGCTTGTTTAGTTTCAAAATTTTTGAGAAAATCATTGTATTCACTTGAATCCCCTTTGATCTTTAAATAAGTATTTTGTCTTTAAACTAACTTACATTGGTAAAATTTTTTGCTACTTTCATATTAGCAATGTTGTGGTTTCCGATTGTTGCGATCGTCATTCTTTTCTTGGCTCCATGCCATTCGCGAGTGGCTCTTTCTGGTCTTTTCATCATCTCTTTTCATTACATCAACATTTCATAACATCACCTTTTGAAATTAAAAAAGTATCCATGAGTCCATGAAATAGGATTGAATCATGTTATTAAAAGGCTTGAGTGATATTGCCAGGATTTCTTTTATTAGATTATTCACTTTCACAATTTTACCAAATTATCGCAGACAAAAAATTGCCTCGATATTTCAGGCTTCGGCGCCATTGCTCCAATTCAACGGCCTTTATTGTCCCATAATAACAATTTTAAATTGCGTCGTAATATTAATTGATCGTTTGAAACATGAAATATTGATGTGAAGTCGCTGCCTCGTTCCCAGGCGCTAATAAAAAGATTTAATGCGAGTCACTATATGAACGGTTTACATGAAGTAGTGCGTCGCGACTAACAACGCTCAGACACAGATGAAGTATATCCTTACTTAATCTATGGCTCAGACCAGAACGCTCATATTCCATCCCCCTTTGCGCGCCTATAATGGAGCAATTTATTTAAAAAATAAATTAGGATTAATAAGAGGCAACATCCATACCGAAAACTATGTAACCTAAACGGAAACGATAAGCAAAGAAAACAACCGCTTTGCTCTCCGGGCAATAAAAGTGGTGTCCACACGGCCACACTTCGCCCACGGTGAAGCACACACGGCAAAAGAGAGCAAGGTCCATAACGGCGGGGGCCCTTACCCTCGTCCTGATCTTCGTATCTCTCCGTCACTTCACCACGGGGAAGCCCGGTTCGGACATGAGATTCAATGTCCTTAACGGCGAGGGCCCTTACTCTCACCCTGATGTTGTTTCTCCAGCTTTTCTGGGGGCCCCTTACCCCCAAGAAACCGCACTTTCCGTCACCCAATTTGGCCACAAAGGATTTGCGTGATTTATTAAGTGACGCACTACTTCATGTAAACCGTTCATATATTGACTCGCATGAAATCTTTTTATTAGCGCCTGGCTAGACGAGGCAGGTAATGTCGATGATAGCCTAGATCTAGCTAGGCCCTTTACTCAGTTGGTTTTGGCAGGTTTTGGTTAATTTTGGGCTAGCGTTTTTAAACGCTCGTAGGTTACTTAAACGGTATCGGAGTGTTGCCATCATACGGTCATCCATTCTTGTTGAAACAACAAAAAGGTAGGAATTTTGTCTGCGCACGCGTCAAAATTCGCGCGGTCAACAGACAGGAGATCTGGGGAGAGTAACGTTTTAGGGACCGGTCATAAAGTAACTGCTTGGGATGGGCCATGGAAAATCTTTGGGCAGTTTCGATGGGCCGCCAATTTTTTTGTATGTCCACGGTTGGGTCACCAAACAAAAACCCATGCATGTCTACTTCAAAAAATAAATATATTAATAATAAAAGTAAACAAAACTATCCAAATTATCAAATGCAAATGATGCTATTGAAGCCAGTACGTTGAACGAACGTAGCAAATACAACCAACTGGAGAGCAGCTCAGTATCGTAATTGATGATGAATGTGTTGGTCAAGCTTGATGGAATTATGTATGTCAATACAGTGCCATATGTATTTACAATGTTCATACCTGCAAGTTTTTTTATTATAAAATTGTATTTTCCCGATTTAGATTGGGTGGGTCATGAAAATTTTTTGTAAGATTAGATGGGCTTTGAAATTTTTATCTACATCCTAAGATGGGTCACCGAACTTATTGGCAAAATTTGTGATTTACCTCCAGCCCACCCTAGCAGTTACTTTATGACCAGTCCCTGCTTTGTTTTTTTTGCCTAGTTTTTTCCCATGACAAAATATTTAATGCTTCGTTGGGAAGCAGGGAAAGGTACGCGAATGTATAAACATCAAGCTTTTACGTAACTTTGTAGGTCGGGAATCTTCGGATTCCGACGGAGAATCACAAGTTTCCTATCAAAAATACTTTGACTAGTGAACGAAAGAAGGTCCAGTACATTTTTGCGAAATCTGCTGTTCACCAGGTGCGGCCAGAAAAGAACTCAGGAACTTGTTATCTTAAGAAATGTTTTTAAAAGAATTTTTCGAATGCGCCAAAATTATTGACAAGCGCGGATAAAATTCTTACCTGTTGAAACAACACGAAGTAAGGATAGTGCACGACACTTAACTATCGAAACAACGTTTTGGAATTATAGTTAATAGTGAGCTTAAGCAAACAACGTTTTTGACAACACGAACGGCACGAGTAACGTCAGAAGACTGGGTCAAGGGCTGTGATTGGTGAAAAACGTCAACTTTACTTCCGTCCGTTATAGACATTTGTACGGTTCTGAGTGCAATTTGAAAAAGACCAGCACGAGTGAGTTTTTCAAAGACGATCGATACTGCACGAGTCTGAACTTCAGTACGATTGAAAAACTCATGAGTGTACTGATGTTTTTCCAAATTGTACGAGAAACCATACTATTACTTACTAATAATAATATACATGAAAAAATATAAAGAAGCTGCATATTCATGGTCACTTCCAAGCACGAAACACAGGCGAGGTAAATAATTTACCTATCCATTTAAAAATGCGTTTTGTTTTACCGTTTTCGAAGTATTTCATTTTGTTACTGTGTTTCTTTTTTGGCACTGTATTTCAATCGGAATGGATAACATTTTTTTATGTATATTATTAGGTTTGAAAAAGCGAGAAATTCCTGCATGCATGTATTTCAAAAGTTGTATAACATCACTTACATCTATATTAATCAGTTTTGCATTTTCGTAATTGTTCCTGTTGATCGGGCATCGACGTTCAGTTGACGGATTCATGTCATCTACCATTCCTTCATCTGGCAATTCAATCATGTATTGTCTTTGGTTGGATGATCTAGTTGTCTTCACTTCGCATTTGTCTTCTCTCCGTACAAGCTCGTAGGAAGCGGCTTGATGTAAAATTTCTTTTCCTTGAAGGATAAATAAACCGATTTATTTGAAACAGTTATTTTATCCAAAATTTTTGGGGTTTTCGGGTTTTAATAAGAAACGGTTAAAAACCTCTGGCATTAATTTTGATTTTCTCTTACCTTGATAATACTTGTGTTATACTCTTATCTTGGCGATGTTGTAGGATTTGTTGGTCGTAGGTCTTCATCTGAAATGAAAGGATATTTCCCATCAGTAACAAAATAGGTTGAATATTTCACTACACATGTTATAGGAAACATTTATTTAATATACTTTTAAAGGTAGGAATGCTAAAATTTCTATGTTTTAAGTACATAAAAGTCCGGGTGTAGCATATCACACAGAAATAAAGGAACAACTGAGTAACAGTGGCGGACCGGGAGGAGTGGGGCTCACCCCCTCTCCCTCAATAATTTCTGAAAGCATTCGAATGATAGCTCAATAACTGTAATCAAGCTGTAACAATAATTTTTTAACCACGAATTTTTCAATCAAGCTATATATTGCGTGAAATTTAAGGCAAAGAAGATTACATAATTGAGATTTCCAGCTACAGAGGGTGGTCATGTGATGATGTCCCCCACCCCCAATATTTCACGAAGTATCTGCTACAGCTGACTAAGAAGAATAGAGTGTGGCAATCAATATGACTAGTCTCGTCCCCTAGGGCAAAAATATTTACATTATTACATAAATTATGTGTACACCAGCAAAACTTACATTCACTATATCTTTGCATCGTCGTTGCTTCTGTTTTGTTGGTCACGGGTTCTTCATTTCTGTTGATGATCCATTATGCATGCTCCACTCAATTTACAGTGAACCACCATAAAAATAGGAAACAATTATGTTAACAAGCGCAACGATAGGACTTGCAAATGGTTTGAAAGCTAAATTAGACTTAAGTTTTATGTAAATAAAATAATACTAAACTTAACGTGTTATAATAATACAAAATCCGAGTGAAAATAAAATGTCGTGGCATACCTAATGAGTAATGCATAAAAAATACACAGAATTCTCTTAATTGTATAGAACACAAATAACAGTGACAAACCGTACATTTGGTATGATCATGATCCTTGGATAGTTGTGGCTTCTTTTGGTCGTCATTCTGTCTACTTCTACCACTTTTTCATCTGCTTGTTCCTCTTTGCTCCTTGTTGCCTTCTTATCACTCTACCCAAAAATATGCAATAAGAATTTTAGTAAAATACGACATATGGCAAACTTTTTGAACAATTTTTACTTGTTCAAAAACAACTAGCATCACAGGCTAACCCAGCAAATATATATGTATTCACTTAAAAATAACACATTTTTAAAAATGCGCATAAAATTTGCCTGGCTTTGCTATCTAGCGCTTTAGCACTTTATTATGTATGCATACTCGCATGGTTACGTCATTGTATTGTCATATAGTATAATATCCTAAGGCTAAGGCTGGGAACTCTTTCACCCAGTACATTTTACACATTAATATGGTCGTTTGAAACAACAAAGTAACACAAATTTCTGAAAAAAACTCATGATACAAAACACTTTGGATATATTTTCTAAATTTATTGATACCTTTCAAAGTACTTTCGAAATTTTTCTGTAGATAAGCGAGATATGCAAATTGCTCGACAAACGTCATCATCGGAAAAACATCGGCTTATTTCTTATTGGTTGCTGAAAAATCGGAAAATCCCGAAGATAATTTAACTAATTTAACCTTAAAAAACAACAGTGACCTCGATCTTTTATTTCGTTAAAACGTTCTGAATTCCTGAAAATAATTCATTAGCCATCTTTTTAAAAAGGTCGCCAGTGTAGAAACTTTTTAATCACAAAAAAAGTTTTAAATTTTAAAAATCTACACTAGCAATGTTGGCTAAATAATTATTTTCACTAATCGAACGATTAACAAAATAAAAAAATGGATCACCGTTCTTTTTTCGAATTAAATTGTTTAAATCCAAAGTAAACCGGCCATATTAAAACGTCATGGTTACCACAGCAACGACACTGACGTCAATTTTAATAAGCATTTGATACTCTTCCTATTCAACAAGTAACAATGGACCATTTGCATTATAGACTAAATTTTGATCTAGACAGAAAAATTTCATTCAATTTATTTCGCTTCGTGGCAACCCCCTGGGGAATAGATTTTCTGTCGTTCAATGCATTGTACCATAGATGCTCGATTATCACAAAAAGTTCCCAAGCAAAAAACTTGCCAAACACCGAGAAAATGGGTGACTATTAAATTGTATTACAGCAAGAAAATGTGAAATTTTGTATTCAATTGCAACAAAAATGACTTGCATCATCAGAAAGCTTACAAAAAACCGCATATAAGACTTTTAAACAGTTTTTTGATCCTTCAAATAGTCTTTTAGTTATTGCTGTTTTAGATCAATTGCGGGCTCTGGTTTCGAGATTGGTTTTAGATGTGAAAATTGGACCAAAATGTCGCAATAAGGACTGGGTACTAGGTCGAAAACACGTTTTTTACAACATATAACTCGAAAACAATTTGAGATATAAAAAACTGTTTAAATGTCTTATATGCAGTTTTTTTGTAAGCTTTCTGGTGATGGAGGTAATTTTTGTTGTAATTGAATACAAAATTTCACATTTTCTTGATGTAATACAATTTAATTGAGGATAATCACTAATCACCCATTTTTTTGGCAAGTTTTTTACTTGGGAACTTTTTGTGGTAATTCAGCATCTATGGTATACTATGAATTGAACCACAGAAAATCTATTCCCCGGGGAGTTGCCACGAAATTGCTTTTCTAAGCACTTTTTCGCACAACGGCCCACGGCTTGAAAGAGCATCACAAAATTAGTAATATTCCAAAGTTTCGTTGCAAAATGTTGTAAAATGCGGATAATATAGCCATGTAAAGTTTGCCGTTTTTCAGTCATTTTGCATTTCATGAGTCATTTTGTATTTGGGAAATTGACAGCCCAATCGGGTGTTGGGGCATCAATTTCCCATTTGTAATACAAAATGACTGAAAATTGCAAATTTCGCAAGGCCATATTAGTAGACCGCATTTTACAACATTTCGCAACGAAACTTTGGAATATTACTAATTTTGGGATGCTCTTTCAAGCTGTGATGAAATTTTTGTCTAGATCAAAATTTAGTCTATAATGCAAATGTCCATTGTTAAAAAAAAATCCACCCAAATCGTAAATTTTCCGGCTGAAAAAAACAGTAGGGAGTCACCTTAAGCCATTGAAACGTCATGGTCACCATGGCAACGAAAGTTTTGGGAGGCGTTTATTTCACTTAATTTTCATCCATCAACTTCTAAAGTCAGATGTAATATATCGTGTAAATTAATTTAGCAGAGAGAAAAACAACTTACCATCTTCTGCTGTTTAGTTTTAGCCACGGTTTATCTTG